CAGTTTGAAAACCTTGACTTCTTGTCAGTAACGACACTTTAAACCCAATCAACAGCCCTCGAATTGATTTGCAAATAGCATTGACATCAATCCATGTTTGAGGCTTCCACAATCACCCGAAAAGGGGAAAGCTAAACATTACTCAGCTGCAAAGCTGTTCTCCCTAAGTATTGTAAGATGTTTTTATTTGTCCATATATATGCACTATACTTTGCTGTGTTGCCATGAGAAAGATCTCAGCTCAACAGAAGAGAGATCGTCCCCATTTGCTTGTAACTGCATAAACTTCTCATACAAAGACCCTCTGTCCACAGCTGAAGTTTTAAACTCTTGTAAAAATTGCAAGCCAAGACCTAGCCAGTAATCTGGTTACCGAGGGAAAGATTCTCGTCTACCCAGCAACGTAGGCTTGGCATGTCATTATCAATTCTCTGCTTAGTCTCAGACAACCAACTCGTGACGAAGCTGGATTAAAGTTTGTTTCGATTGGCATGGGGGATGATTGTATTGGAGAGTTAAACCCTGAACCGATTGAGTATAGATTTGAGTAAGTGTGCGGATATTTAATGGAACACCTGGTTTTGACTAGTGTTAAGAGTTTATTAGAATCAATACACCCGACAAAGCTCAAGCAATGTCCCCTGACAAATTTGCATGTATACATTAATACATATATATATATATATATATATTATAAATAGTGCCTTTTGGGCAGTATGTCAACACAAAACGTTAATGAGTGAACATAGGCTTACCCTTGTTCTGCTAGTTCCAACAAAGAATTTTAATGTTTTTAGGTTAGATAATCTTTGTAAGTTCACAAAGGGGGGAAGGTAATCGGCTTAGAGGAGTGGTTGTGTAAGGCGTAGATGGCTTTTGTTGACTCAAAGCACCCTTAGATTCAAGGCTATTGAACCCTACCCACCCCTGGCTGTCATCAAATGGCTCGTTTGTTATCAACCCAGTATATCGATGACATTATCTTTTCGTAAGAAAATACACACAGAAACGGTGTTTTAACGCCCAAGTCGTGTAGGGTTTTGTTTTCGAATGATAATCTGCCCAGCGTTTTGTACTTGACGATCACCTAATGGCCAAGTCTTAAAGCATGGAACATGGCTCTCAACAAAGACTTAGTTGAGGTGATTAGTTGCACACGTGTGGGGCTATTTTAATTCGAACAACACCACGTTGAGCAAACAGTCTAAATCACTAGATAATACTCTCTACTGACTTTCTAATGTGTTGTTTTTTGTTCATGATGTAAATCCATACTCGCTGTCACTTCTCTAGCAACCTCGACTCTCAAAACCCCTCTTAGCACTAAATCTTTAAAATTTAAAACTCCCAGTAGAAATGTATCCTTTGAATAGAAACATCGTTTCTAAAACACCTTTTTGATCGGCCGCCAAAAGCAATGCTTTTTTTCTGGCGTTTTTGATACTCAAACTAAAGACGTGGCAAGCCATTGATATGCAAATGAGATGTCTGAACTATTTTTAATATCAAAAATAGACGTTTTGAAATACTCTTTTAAATGGAGAAGAATTGAGTAAATTTCAATAAAAAATTACCATAATAAACACGAAATGCGTGAAAATTGTAAAACAGAAAGAAATGTCTCACATGTGTAGAAATTGTTTTTTAATTTGACGATTAAGTTTGAGGCAAAAATCAAAATTTCAGAACTTTCAGAACGATTTGAAAATGGAAATAAGAAAAGATTTGAAATCGCATTGTCATCGAAGGAACTTGCATAACTTGTTCTTTGAAGGTAAGCATTTGTTATGTCTTGTATTTGTTTCTATTTTTACGAGTAATCCCGACTAACTTTAAGCCGAAATATGATTTGGTTGCAAAGGTTTTGGCATCGTCCTCAATTCCTAAATTTGTACTTAAATACTGAAGAAACTGCTCAGTGTTTTTCGCAGAAATTAAACTTAACTTATTGGTATGTAATTTGATTTAAAACTACAAGAAAATATTAATAATGAAATGGTTGTGATTTAAGTTTTATTTATTTATTTATTTTATTATTTTTTTAAATTTTTTTGCTGAAATAAATTATTCAAGGGAACCTGCGAATATCTCGGCTGATTTTTGTTTTCAATTCATACGCTAAATAAACTTTAATTAAAAAACGACCTAAAAAAGTGAAGGAATATCGATAGGAATTGTGCTCTTGATAAGAAAAAATAAGAAGCCACCTCATGCTCAACTTGAATAACCTTTTTTTTCAGCAAAATGAAGCACATTTTGATGTCATATTTTTCTTTTTTAAATCTTAACTGAGTGATAGAAATAAACCGATTTAGTTTTTTGTTTTCTTCTAGGAAAACATGATAAAGCCTTTGGTCGTTTTACGTTTTACCGGCAACTTTTTAAAATTTCTTTCTTTGATTTTTTTCAAAAACTTTTTATTTTTGCTTTTCCTGTTTATGCTTTATATCCGGTTCTCAAACACGTTACCAAAACTGAGGTGTCGATTTCACTAAGCGTTGTTATTGGATGATTTGAACTTATTTCTGCTTTTTGATTGGCCAAAGCGGAAGCCAATTGTAAGCTACCGGCCTTTTTTTTTTTTTTTTTTTTTTCCGTTTTTTTTTTTTTTTTTTTTTTTTTTTTTCCCGATGTGCGCATATAAATTAACTGAGTGTGTGTTTGATAAAAAATAAAAAAATAAAAAAAATTCCTATAAATTAAGGTGGTTGACTACAACCGTTAATTGGTTGAAGGCATCTCTTGCCTCCAAATAGGATTATACCCTTAGCCATTGCAGGTCGAACCAATAACCTAGCCCTCAGGTTTCAGAGTAGAGTACAGAAGAAATCTACCACCGGCCCTTCAGGTTGTGGGGTCGGGCCAACGTTAACCCTACTTCCATCTAATATCTTCCAGCTGATCTGAGAAAAATGGTAGCCAATGAGAATCATTCAAGAAAAGTTGCAAAAAGGTGTCAATTTTTCTATCAGGCTACTTAAAAGTAAAAAATAACGTTTGCTATAACTAAGATATAACGCGCGCTCTGATTGGTTCATCACCTATAAAGAAAAATGTATGGAGCACTCGTATGGAGCACGCTGGTGACGTCAATTTTGTGAAAATTCGGCGAAAAATGCAGGCATTTAGATAAGTGAAACTAAAACGACTACTAACTGGTCTACTTTTCTGTAAATTTCAAGGTAAAATATAACTATTGATTTCCTTTCCATTAAAAGTTTATAGCGTATTTGTTTGAGCTCAAGTTTGGCTTACTAAAAAATCGCCCCTCCACCGGCCAGCGCACTACAGCGAAATCAAAAAGTCTTGCAGTTGAGAAGTCAATTAGTTCAGTTTTTCTTGCTCAATCCGCCGTACAGGTCCCCACAGCAGTCCAGCAAACCACCACGATGGTTACTGGAGTCCAGGTAAAGCCAATGATGCATTCTTTCGACTCAGTTTTCGAAAAATTATTTACGGTTCAAGATGTTCAGATAATTTGCAGACAAGCGCCAACGAAGATCGCTAAATCGACTTCTCCTCAGTCAAATGAACTTTAAAACTTTCTTGTGAATGGAAACGTTTAAGAATACATTTAGGAACTGCTTCCCTTGCATGAATTTTTCGGAAAAAGTTTTAAAAATGAAGTTTAAAATGCCCATTGAGCTGTTTTTGTTCCGAACACGAGACTTGACTGATTTCCGAATTTGGCTCGTAAAGTATCGTGCTCGCATCTTAGGAGAATCTGTGATTTGATCAGAGCGAAATAAACAGTTTTTATCGTGTAAAGTTGTTCTTTATGTTATAAAAGCAATGGTCAATGCTATAGCAGTGCTAGGCATTGACCATTGCTTAAATATACTTTTGTTGCGATGGCGAGTGGTTTTTTTTCGCTTTCCAAATTTTACAGGCTTCGTGACACCCCTATTTTCCAGTGACGTCATTTCAACGTCACTATTTCATTTCAGCTTGTTGTTGCGGAAACTATGATGACGAGAACATAAATTTACAACGCAGCCTTATATCAAACTGGGAGAAGGGGATTAGTATAGGAAATACAACAGTTCGTGATGAATTAATGAAAAATAACGCGCGCATTTGATGAAAGTGACTTAATACCACAAGTGCGTAGCATGAGTGATATTAACCCCCTTTTATCGAATGCAAGTGGTATTTTTCATTAAGTATTCGAGAACTAAGGTTGGTATTTCCTTTTAATAAAACATCTACATAAAATACGCGTTTCTGAAGTAAAATATTTTGCATTCCAAAGAACACCCGATAAAACGTTCTCGGATATAAGAAAAAAACAAGTATTTTATATAGATGTGGTATTGATAGTAAGTAATTTTCTAGATCCACACGGCAAAATTCGACATAAAAAATTAATTCACAAAAAA